TTGGAATTGACTCAGCAGGAGTGGGGAGTGGGTAGGCAAGTACTAAGAATTATTATATATTAAAAGCCATTGGTATATAATCATATTATTTAATAATTGGTTCTTCAAAAGACATAGTACTTTAAAGTCAAAAAGAATTTCTGATCTTGAGTCATTAATTTATTTAATTAATGAATCATTAATTAAATTAATGAGTCATTAGTTCATTTGGGGTGAAATGTCATTAGAGTAAATCTGGGATACTGAGTTATTTTACATGTGTGTGTATGCACACAGACACACACGCATAAACACACACACATCTATCTCAACTACCAGCTCAAAAGGCATTGACACACACATGGCAACATTTTACACACGCACACACACCATTCACACCCATCCCCCTCGCCCTTTCTTAGACCAATTCAGCCTTCCCTCAAGTTTCTGTAAACTTTTTGGAAGATTCCTTCCTCCTTCCACAGATATGAAGGGGTTCTGGTGGTGCAGTGGTTAAAGCATCTGCCTGCTAAACAAAACGTTGGCAGATCAATCCACTGGCCACTAGGCAGAAGAAGCACAAGGCAGTTGGCTTCTGTGAAGACTGACAGCCTTGGAAACCCTGTGGGGCAGTTCCACTCTGTCCTCTAGGGGCGCTGTGAGTCAGAATCGACTCCAGGGCAGTGGGTGTGGTTTGGGCTTTGCTTCTCTAAAGATTGACAGCCTTGGAAACCCTGTGGAGCAGTTCCACTCTGTCCTCTATGGTGCTATGTATCTGAATTGGCTTGGTGGTAGTGGGTTTGGTTTGATTTCCACTGATACGCACCTCTTGGTTATCCTGTGTGCCCTCAATTTTTCCCCTTCTGCCTTCTGAAAGTGTTTCTTTTCTCCCACTGACCACCTAAACAGGAGCTCTGGTGGCACAGTGGTTAAAGAATTGAGCCAGTAACCAAAAGGTCAGCGGTTAGAACCCACCAGCAGCTCTGAGTGAGAAAGACTCAGCAGTCTACTTCTGCAAAGATCTGCAGCCTTGGAAACCCTACTCTGTCCTCTAGGGGCGCTGTGACTTGGAGTTGACTCCATGGCAGTGGGTGTGGTTTGGGCTTTGCTTCGGTAGACTGACAGCCTTGGGGACCTTCTGGGGCGGTTCAGACTCTGCCATCCTAAAAAGTGTGGCTATGGGTCAGAATTGACTCAATGGCAGTGTTTTTTTGTTGGGGGGTGGAGCGGGGTGGTGGCCGTGTTTGGCCCACCTAAACAGATTCAAGACAGCACTCACATTACCAGTGACACCAAATCTCGACAGGAGGGAGCGATGAAGTCACGAGACACAGTGGCGACCGCCAGGGCGTGCTGGTACGAATGGCTTGGCTTGTTCTACACCACTAGGTCCGCTAACCGAACTGTTTTCACCTCCCGACAGACCTTGGTTCAGAGGAATTAAACTCTACTCAAATAACTGTTTAGGAGCTCTGGTAGCATAGTGGCTAAAAGCACTTGACTGCTAACCAGAAGGCTGGCGGTTCAAACCCACCAGCCACTCCTCGGAAGGAAGGTTGGGCAATCCTACTTCTGTAGTGATACTGCCTCGGAAACCCAAGGAGGGGTCGCTATTAGTCGGGGCCGACTCGACGGCACATAACAACAACGTTCCCATTTATTCTGTAGTACATGAGCAGCAGAATCAACTCAAAAACACCCTACCAACAGGCAGCATTCTGGAAAATGCAATGGTTTGAACCTCTCCCACTTGCCCGTTTAGGGCTCTGTTAGGTCTCCATGTGCTAATTCCCTTCAGGTGATGCTGGTTTTCCAGAGTCTCTGTCTGTCCCTAAGGAGACTCTTCCTGTCCTTGTCCCATGTCTTCAATCTTTTCTCAGTCCTGCTCCCATTTAACTTACCTCTCCAGGCTCCTTTGGGTGCTTTACTGGGAAACCCAAACTAAGCCATTCTTCTTCAAACATCAACAAATGTTAATGTTTGAGCCTTCGTAGGTACTAAACTAACGTTGCCCGTTGTCCCAGAACCTCCATGATGTTAAATGTTTTTCTGTCCTCACTGATCTCATTAAAATCAGTCACCTCTTTGAAAGCCTTGGCTTCCCCAAGTCTACTCAATAGACACTCTCACCATCTCAGGGGCCGCCCTCACTTCAGTTAACCTTGAAGTATTAATGTTGCCCTCGGCCCACTTCTTTTTGACCTGCCAGTTTCCAAGGATTTAAATAATCTTTTGGCATGAATTATCTTCTGACTAGAGCTCTTCTGTGTGTACCAACTCACGTACTCAAACACCTACCTGACACCTCCCACCTGGACACCTCTTAGGCCTCTGTGTTCAAAATGAACTTTTGATTCCTGTCATCTTCTTCACCTTCAACCCTGTTTTCCCTTTGAAGCGTCCCCATTTCAGTAATTGGACCTCAAACCCAGGCAAGTGTCATCTTTGTCTGTTCTAACCTTCCAGTTCCAATGCCTGAAGTCTACCAATTAGTTCAACAATGTATCTTACCCCGACCCACTTCTCTCCACCACTAAACGCACTGCCATCGAGTTAATTCGACTCATAGCGACCCCTCCTTGGTTTTCTGAGGCGGTTATCTCTACGGAAGTAAGATTACCCAATCTTCCTCCCGAGGACTGGCTGGTGGGTTTGAACCGCCAGCCTTCTGGTTAGCAGTCAAATGCCTTAGGCACTACGCCACCAGGCTGCTTCATCCCTTACCATTCTATGAGTCTCTCTGCTTGGATTCTGGACACCCAACCGTTCATTCCTACAATCAATCAGGTGTCCCTCTTGTTGTACTTAAAATTAAACTCCTGACCACCGTAGCTCTTCTTCCCATCAAATCCATAGCCCAGGCCCTTCTCTTTGCTTATTAAACTATAGACCCCCCACCCTCCCCTTCATTGCTCAGCTCACCAATTTTCTGCTTCAAAAAACCCCACTCACTGCCATTGAGTCAATTTAACTCCCAGTGACCCCCCCCTCCCCAAATTGGGTTTCCAAGGCTGTAAATCTTTATGAAAGTAGATTGCTTCATCGTCCTGTGGAGCAGCTGTTGGGTCTGAACCGTTGACCTTCTGCTTAGCAGCTAAATGCCTTACCCATTATGCCACCAGAGGACCTTCCAAATGCTGTGCCTCCAGGATGCTCACGTTCTCTCTGCACAACTAGCTCCTTCTCCCTCCATGTTTTAATGTCACCTCCAACTTCCATACCTTAAGTCGATGCCCTTCATGTTTTGTAACTTGATTTTTTCCCACAAAATTACAACTTTAAAGAAAGTCAGTCCTATTATATGTTCCATGTGGGTAAGACTTGTGTCTGTGCCATCCACTATCATCTGTCCCTATGGTCTAGGAAACACCAAGCACTCAATAAATACGAAAATAGATTTAAAGAAGTTGGCCGTGCATGGGAAACGCAGCGTTAGTACAGTGGACAGACAATCCAAGCACTAACAATAGCATGGTAACTATCAAGATGAGGGAACACACTGTGTAGTCAAAGCACATAGCCCTTGACCTAGGATGGGGAGTCTGATATACAAGCTTTGACCTAGAGTGGGGGGCAGTAAGAGTTCCAAGAAGCGGGAACAGAAAGGCTCCAAAGCACAGAACGCTGAGGGAGGGGTGAGGGGTGGTGGAGTGCTAGGGTCCAAGGGGTAACGTGGATTTAAGGTGAATGAAGAGTCAAGTTGGGCTGAGGGTCTGACAGGCATAAGATAAGTTAAAGAGGAAGAGAGAACAGATTTTGCATGGGACTCACTGATTAATTTTTAAGTTGTTTGAAAAGCTCATTCTCCCCACATTGAATATTCCTTCTTGTCCTTAGCATCTTTTGAACAGAGCTTTTTCTATCTGAACTGAAGCTACACTTAGAGACCTCTTTAAGAACTCAACAGGTATCTGCTCTTCCTATAATTAAAACGTTTTGGCCTAATTAAGTCATTCTTTTCTCATTGTGGTAAATATACATGTAACAAATTGTTTGCTATTCCAATATTCTTCATTGTACAACTCAGTGTCACTGGTTATGTTTATAATGTTGTTCAACATTCCCATTATCCATTTCCAAAATTTCCCATCACTTTTAAATTTAGGGCATTTCTGACTAAATATTTGATGAACACCCCCTCCCAGAAAAACCCCACTGCCATCGAGTCAATTCCGACTCATAGTGACCCCCACTGGATTTCTGAGGCTGTAAGTCTTCACAGAAGTACACTACCCTATCTCCCTTCCGTGGGTTTGAACTGCCAACCTACTGGTTAGCAGCCAAATGCCTTAGGCACTGTGCCACCAGAGCTCCTGAAATATTTGATTGTTGTTATGTGCCACCTAGTCGGATCCGACTCATAACGACCCCTCCTTGGGTTGCCGAGGCAGTATCACTACAGAACTAGATTGCCCAATGCAGGACACTGGCACCTATCCTTAAGTGCTACCACAAAGATGGAGCAGAATTCACACAATTCTTTCAAATTATCCCCCAACCTTGCTCAATGCAGCCAAAGATGCAATTCTCCCATTACTTACTTATTAAATAAAAAACAAGTTTAGCAAGAAATCAAATTTTCCTCTTTCTTTCCTTTTCAATCAGCCAGTTTGTCTGGGGTCATGTTCTAGTGCATCTTCTCCCTCCCCCAAATCACAGCCATGACTATATATTACTTTTAAATCCTATGAACAAAGTCCTGGTCTAAGGCTTCATTTCCCTATGGTTTCCTCATTTTCAATACTGGCTCAACTAAAAAGAAAAAAAAAAAAAATTCACCCTTGGTTATCATTTGGTTGCAAATAACAGAAACCACTCAAATCAGTTTAAATGAAAGAGGGAATTTATTTCATGAACACAAAGGTACTTGCGGGAAAGCCAAAAGCTACACTGGGTCTACAGCTAGAAGCGCGCCTTTCCGCAGGCTCGATTACGCCGCGATCACGCCATTTTACTTCCGGGTTCTGCGTGACCACGAAGAGCATATCCCAGAATACCCTCCGCACCTACTGCGTAAGGGACTAGAACGTGGGTTCATTTCTGCTTGCTTTTTGGTCCTTATAGTCCTTTACGCTCGCCTCAAACTTGTTAAGCACATGCTGGCAGACAGTCATGAGCTCATTCAGGCCTCTCTGAAAAGGCTCAATAGCCGGAAGACCACCTCGCGTCTGAATGCGTAAATTAATCTTGCTCTCTGAAGGATGGGTCGTAGTGTAACCACAGAACTCCACTTCCGGGTTCTTCATGATCATGTAACGGAGCGAATTTCCTAGCGTGTGGTCCTCTTCGTGCAGGACAAATGTCACACAGTGTCTATCTGTTCCTGCTGCCTGGACCATCTCCAGGGCAGTCTTCCTCTCGCCTTCGGCCATGGAGGTCTTCAATCCATGTATTTTTCTACGCACACATTTTTTATAAAAATGAGATCATACTAAATACTTTGGTAACTAGCTTTTTTTTTTCATTTATATATATCACAATTACACCACAGAACCACCGTCCTCCACTCCAACCACATAAACTATTCGTCTCGTATTTTCCTGCCTCCACAAATGCAATCAATCAATATTTAAACGATGGTCTCCAGTTTCTCCCTACTTCATGTGACCCCTCGGCATGGCCACGAGGAGTCTCTTTAAGGCAGAAGCATCAATGTTTGCTAAAATACTATTTTGGTAGAGCCACAAGACAGAGATAAGATTAGAACAGGGCGGGCCTTGTTGGAGGATGAAGAGGGAGTTGAAAGGATAGGAAAAAATACACTGCTTTTAGTGTAAATGTCAGGTTCGAGTCTAGATTATGGACATGCAGGCCCAGCTATGGCTTCCACTTGCAGGAGGCTAGGGAACTAGGACAATGGAAGGTCCGAGAAGAGTTAAGCAAGAGAGAGAAAAAGAACTGAGCGCATAGAGTGAGTGGCTTTTACTCTGCACAAGAAAAGTTCGGGAGGGGCAGATCCCGGCGTGGGTCTATCTGAACACCCCATTATCAATCACTCAGGAAACAGTGGCCTGCTATGGATTTTATCCGTTAGTTTAATTTTCCCTTGCTGCTTTAAGGAGGGGACTCTCATCTGGTTTCACAACTCGTCTCTCCTCCGTGGTATCTATCTACTCGTCTACGGAGCGTCTCAATACAAACCATCCATGTCTCTTTCACCCTCTCCCCCAGAGCCGAGCCCCATCTCCGCCCAGGCCTCCATGTCTATTCCCCTTCCCTCGCTTCTCGGAGCTCCTAGTGAGGCCCGTCCCGCCAGGC